GTTTGTAGTTTTATTGATTATTTTTGTCTCTCATAAACTCTTATCTTATTTAGTTTGAAAAAAATAAAAGAAAATGGAGAAAAAATTAACATTATTTCAAACAATTATATTAAGTTATTAGGCCAATGAAATAATTTAATCAATTATATTAAGTTATTATAATAATTAAATTTAATTAATATTTAAAAATATATTAAATTTAATAATTTTTTTTAATAAAATATCATAAAGATGGAGAAAGAAACTACATCCGATCGTAAGAGCCACTGGACGGACGAGATGCAAATTTAATAGCATATTCATTATTGGTTTATAAGAAAAACCTATCAAATCACGCAAGGAAACTCGATCTTCCGTGTCAACCTTGTATTAGTAGGGAATACGTACAGAATACTATCCCAAAGGCTTTTTGGTCTTAGGGGCTGTTTGTCTTTAATCTCATACGGACAAGAAGCTGGGCACGACAGTGCTTTTTTGGTGTAACGAAATGATTGCCAATAATTCCAGATAAGTAAGCATCAATTGGAAAAATGGATCTGGGCGGTTGTGATGTCCAAGGGGTGGTCCTCTCTATGATTTTATGTGCCTGAATCAGTAAGATCAGGCTTGATCTCTCTTTTATCGTCTTCAAAATTTCTCGAAGTTCAAACTTCAAACCACCACTAAACAAGTGATTTATACTGTTTTTACCTAAAACGTGAGAGGAATTCAACTTAATTACTTGCGTCTAGGTTATATATATATAATTATATACCTTTTTGTATAGTGCATTTTTAAAGTGTAGAGTTAAGTTTTGAATCTCCTTTTCTCATATTGTAATATGTTAAAACAAAAATTTTCAACTTAATTACTTTATGCTTCATGAAAATGTTACTAATAATCTCTTATAGGGCTAAACCTACCGTCTCTACCGAGGGAGGTTCCAACTCTGCAACTTCAAACCGTATATCATTCCCACCTAGGCCTTCCAATCCACTTGTTAATTTGAAAAGGAAACAAAAGTGTCTTCAAATTAGAGAACAATCATTATTGCTTCTCATGAAAACAAGAGAAATTCAAGGAGATGTGAATTTTTTTTTATTGATTAAAATTTAATTTTTTTAAAAAATTTTAAAAAAAATTTTTTTTAATTTTTTTTTTTAATATAAATTCAATCCAATCTCATTACACTTGTTCAAACTAAAAAAAATTAATTTAATTTAAAAAAAAATTAATTTTATATTTTAGTAAAATTTGGCTTCTT